TTTTACTTTTTGGATAGCAGATATTTTCTGTCTAACTAGAATAATTTTCTGAGCTTTTTGTTGCCTGTATTATACTCTTGACTGTTTAAGAAGGAAAAAAAGAGCAAAGGTTTCTTGTTCCTCACTTATAAAAGAACTAAGGTTCTTTACAATTCTGTTACCTTCTTTTCTTTTAACTTTAAAATGTTTTATTGACACTTTCATTAAAAATATAATGAAATATTATTTCTCAGGCACTCATAATCCTACTTAATCGTGTCCAAGTTTCCTCTGACAACTTCTTTGATTTTGCCTTGCCCAAATCAGATCCTAAATATAAAAAAAGTGACATAAATCTTGTAGAATATCTTTTAAGTTACCTTTGTGATTTCTGGAAAATTACAAAGGTTTGTTATTTCACCTTACAAAGAGAGAGATGCTAGAAATATTTAGGTTCATTTGTTAGTTACTATTGATGAGTAACATGGGAAGAGTACTCAAATAAGAAGAGCTACTCAGCCTTCCCTAGGTTAAATTTGTATAAGTAAATGTCATTAATTTTTTTCTAAATTGTATGCTTTATGACAAGTTCTTAGAGATTCATCAATTCCCTCACTGTCCATATCACATTTCTATTTATCAGAGTCCTGATGGTGCACTATCTGATATGAGGAAACAACAGTATAGTGTTACCAGTCATAATTTCAGTTATTTAAAAATGTTAAGTAGGTCACAACCATACTTATCTCTCTTTTTAAGACTTTTTTAAAAGAGATGTTTTAGGCTTACAACAAAATTAAAGGAAGATACAGAGATTTCCTAATATCCCCTTCCCCCCCACATGCGTAACCTCCCCCTTATCATCATCCCCCAGCAGAATGGTGCATTTATTATAACTGATGAACCTACAATGTCATATCATAGTCACCTAAAATCCATAGGTTACCTTAGGGTTCACTACCGGTGTTATACATTCTATGCGTTTGGACAAATGTATAATGACATATCCATCATTATGCTATCATACAGTTTCTTCACTGCCCTAAAAATTCTTTGTGTTCTTCCTATTCATTCCTCATGCCCTCAACCCTGACAACTGATCATTTTATAATCTCCACAGTTTTGCTTTTACCAGAATGTTATATAGTTGGAATCATGCAATATATAACCTTTTCAGGTTGGCTTCTCTTACTTAGTAATATATATTTAAGTTTTCTCCATGTTTTTTCATGGCTTGATAGCTCATTTCTTTTTAGTACTGAATAATATCCCATTGTCTGGATGTACCACCATTTATTTATTCACTTGCATACTGAAGGACGTTTTGCTTGCCTCCAAGTTTTGGAAATTATAAAGTTGTTATATACATCCATGTGCAGGGTTTTGAGTGGACATAGGTTTTCAACTCCTTTGTGTAAATACCGAGGAGCATGATTACTGGATCGTATGGTAAGAATATGTTTAGTTTTATAAGAAGCTGCCAAACTGTCTTCCAAATTGGTTGCACCAGTTTGCATTTCCACCAGCAATGAATGAGAGTTCTTGTAGCTCCACATCTTCACCAGCATTTGATGTTGTCAGATGCTTCCAGTTTGGGCCATTCTTATATAATTTAAGCTCTTCCTTCTCTGGATTCACATACCTCTTACACTTCTTTTATAGACAGTGCTACACTGCTATGTTGGTTTTTCTGTTTTGTTTTTTTTCCTTTTCTGTCTTTTTTGAAGGACTATAAGCCTCTGGAGGTCATTCACAACAATAAATTAAAAAGGCATGGTACCTGGCATGGGATCTAGAATATAGAAGAAACTTAAAATGTTTGATGAACAAATGAATTTTTAATGAAAATGATTTATCCTCAGTCTAAGAGCAGTCAGAAGGAAAACTCATCTTTGCATTTTCCAAGGAATTCTCCACAGTGGTTAAGAACATGGCTCTGTAGTAAGACTGCTTTGTTTAACTCTCAACTCCACCCTTTACTAGCTGTGTAATCTTGGGACGGTTTCTGAACTTCTCCATCTCTCTTTTTTAATCTAGAACATTACAGACTTGTTGGTGTGGATTAAATAAAATAAAACTTGTAAAGAGTTTATAACAGTGCCTAGCACATAGTAAAAACTAAATACATATTATATTTTAAAATCATTGTATTAGATCTATTCTCTGATTTTTCCTTTTTTTTACTTAAAAGTAGTAGCGATAACTTTAATTACTTTATGTCTTTATTTGCCCAACAATGGCACATTTTGGTGGTGAGCTAACTGGCCACTGAGGCATACTTCCTTATTTTGGACCCTAAGCTTCATTTTCTTCTTCAGTTCATATTTTGAGCTTGTGCTTGGTTTCAATGAGGTAAGAGTTATGTTCCCAATCCTTGATTATCCATTCTTGTCTTGCAAGCCTGCTGCTCTTCAGGGCTCAGTTCATATATCATCCTTTCTATGTAGCTTTCCAAGAATGTCTCCTATGACTATGCGTGAATTATAATGTACTACAGTTGTTTACTTGTTTGTATTTCCCACTAGACTAAGCTTTTTCAAGCCAGTGATCTTGTCTCATTATTCTGTTTAATCAGTGCCTAAAACAAGGTCTAATGGTCTAGACCTTGCTAAATCTAAAACATGCTAAATCTTAAAACATGTTTATAGCATAGGATGATTTGTGTTTTACAAGACTTGCAAAAAGTTTTTTTTAGCTAAAATGATTTCTCTGCAGTTTCCTTTGTAGCTATGATAAATGTGACTCGTTAAGGTTGTTTTCAATCATTTATTCATTTGATAGAAATGTATTACACATCTACTAATTACAAGCTAAAGAAAACATTGTGAGAAAAGCAAATAGAATTCAAGGCGTCTGTCCCACCATTAAGTAGCTCAGAGATTAGTCATAGAGACAAAGCACAAATAATCAGTAAGCAAAGCACATAATCAATAAGAACGATATAAATGATGTGTCCAAAATAAGAGGTAGAGAGAGAAAGTGATGTGAGTTAACAGATGGGAGCAGCGGTATGCTGGCCATTATTTTAACAACCAGCTCTCTCAGAGTGAAAGCCCTGATTTGTAGCACTTGCCGGTTTCCTGATGTAGACACTCCTACCAATACTGGTTTCAAGCTACAGCCTGAGGTCGCTGAATGAAAAGTTGGGAAAATATGTACATAATTCAATCTTGCTAGCCAGTTTGGGCTGGCTCCAACACACCCTTAGATGAGAGAAATGATTTTAGATAGGCATGGTCATTCTTCATGGAAGAGCTAAAAATTGAAACTAGTCTTGAAGATTGTATAGAAATTAGATAAGTCAAGGAAAATATGTTCCAGATTTGGAGACTGGTAAGTGCAATGCATAGAAGCAACAATGAATGTTGAATATTCAGGCAAATGTACTCAGCACATAGTAGGTGCTCAATAAATATATTTGTGAATAACTGAACAGCAGCGAAAAGACCATCTGATTGAAGAAATGCATCTCTATTAAGAAGAGACTTGAGAGGAAAGCTCAGATGCCACAGTACTTTGTGGCAATCTGCAGGTCTCTATCCTTCTTTATAATGATGTTTTTTCCTCCCTCTCCATCCCCAGAATCTTCATCAGCTTGCCTACAAGGGCTGAATGAGAAACTACTTTGACGTTTGCTTATTATTTTTGAGTTACTTTAATAATCATGCAGGTATCTAATAGTAAGATAGGATTAACAGAGAATTCTAAGAAAGAGAAAATTTTAATTTTCAAAGGTGGGAGAGTGGCTTCTAAAAGCTGTATATCTTCATAATAGCTTTATCTCTATTTAAAAAAATGCCTCCAGACATTGAATTAAATTATAGCATTTTCTATAAATATAGATATAGGTGGGCTAGATAAAGATCAACCTCTTTCTCTTACCTGGCATATAAATACGGAATTCTCTGGTTTGGCACGGGTCAGGAAACTTTCTCTGTAAAGGGCCAGGAACTAAATATTTTCTATTTTGTGCACTATATGGTCTTGGTTCAACTTGGCCATTGTAGCGTGAAAGCAGCCATAGACAATATGTAGATGAATGATTGTGGTTGTGTTCTAATAAAACTTTATTTACCAATAAGGTAGGAGACAGATTTGGCCTATAAGCCATAGTTTGCATATTCCTTGTCTGGGGCATCAAGGTATCTAGGAAATCTAGCTTCTTTAAAGTTCATGGGATGGCACTAAAGATCAAAAAAATGCCAAAAATTCACAAAGACAATATGATATAAAAATGACTCAGTAAACAGAGTTCAGTCTATCTGTTCTGCTAAGATGTTTTCCCCCACAATCTTCCTCCCTCCTTGATGTATAGTTTTGGTGGTTTTGATGTTATATTGTTATCATAATTTTGGTGCTTGTATACTTTCTTAAAAACTAATTTCGTAATAAAACTTGACTTGGGATATTATTTAATTCTTATAATATTAGAGGTGCCAAGAAGGCAATAAAAACCTGCCTAATAATCTTCCAGGCTAATAGTCACTCAGTTATTTGCTATTGTGTCCATGTTCCTGAAACATGAGTGAGGTAGAGATGGTGATAACTTCTTCAGCCATTCATCCATCGCTGGACCCTTTTGTTGTTCCCATATTTTGGGTATCGTAGATAATGCTGCTATGAAAATGGGGGTGTCCTTTACAAGTTAGCGCTTTTGTTTCCTTTGGATATATTCCCAGAATTGGAATTGCCAGATCATTTGGCAGTTTTATTTTGAATTTTTTGAGAATCCTCCATGTTGTTTTCCATAGTGGCTATACCAGTTTACAATTTCACCAATAGCGCACAAGGATTCCCTTTTCTGCACATCCAGGACAGCATTTATCTCTTGTTTTTTTTGATGATGGCCATTCTAACAAGCATGAGGTACTGTCTCATTTTGGTTTTAATTTGTGCTTCCCTAATGACTAGTGATGGTGTGCATACCTTTATGTGCCTGTTGGCTTTTTGTATATCTTCGTGCCACATCCACTATGTTTAAAACAAATAAGCACATAATTTATGAAGAAGTGCCAACCAACCTGTCAACAAATGCATGATGAACAAGGAAAACAGGATCGTTGGCAGATCCCGGTACTTGGGACATCGTTCCATTCATGTAGATGTGCAACGCATTGTGCATACTGCTTTGTGAGGCATCTGCTATCCCAGTAAGTGGACTAGCAAATCCTGTTGACAAAAAGAAAATTGAAAAAAAAAATTAGTTTGTCTTAATGATTTAAAATCTAAATGATTTTCTCATTTGGTTTACAACTACAATTGAAAGCCTGATTCAAAGTAATAAAATCAACCATAAAATTCATTCTGTATTGGGATTCTGTACATTCTAGATGCCCAGTGAGTATTTAAGAAATCTTTGTAGAGTTGAATGGTGTCAATCTGGTCACAACGGACTGATTAACCAATGGAATAGGCTGAGCCAGTCTGTGTTCCATTCTGTTGCTTCTACCTATTATTCCTCCTTTAGATCCTGAAAAGTAGTAAAACCTTTTCATAATAATCAACACAGTCACTCTCACTTCAGTCTGTAACAGCACGTAGAAACAGATCTTTCCAGCCTTTATGTGTTCCCTTGCTTTCCAGTTCTGGTGGTTACTTTTAATTTTTTTCTGGTTCCAGAGAAAACATGAAATTTGTGACTTTTGACATTACAATTCATCTTCAACTGTCTAGAGGACATCAGGTAATGTGTTTTATTTTGCAAAATATTTATTTCAAAGTTAAGCAGGACTCCATTAAATGGCTCCATTCATCGCAAAAGGAATCGTAATTATAATAAGAATTATTATTTTCTGAATGTTAATTGAGCTATTGCTTTTTGTGACATAAGTCCTTCAGCCTTTATAGCAACTCTGTTGATTAGAAATTATCCCCATTGAAAAAAAGAGAAAACTGAGGCTCAGACAAGTTCTGAGTTTCCCGAGCCTACACAGGTCGTGGTTGAGTTGGGATTTTAACCCATATCAATTAGACTTCAACGTCTGACCTCTTGATATTTTGTGTTCTCTCCCACATACTCCCAGGGAAGAGGTAGAGTATGATATCATTTCAGAGTCCATTCAGGGAAAACACAAAACATAAGTAGAACTCAGATTCAGAGCCAGACAAAGAAGTAGGAGTAACAGAGTTAAACTGTAAGTAGGAGGCAAGTTGAGGGACTGTGGCCAAGGACACGCTGAATTTCAAAATTCAGAAATATAAGAAAACAGAAACTGTAAGATTATAATTTTTTTTTTAAAAAAAGGTAGGATAGAAACAGTGCAGGCATTAGGGCTTGGGCAGAGGAAATCTAGCTTCATTTCATACAATTAGGATTATTTTGTTGTCAATTTCATTTTTTAAAGTGCAGCTCTTCACTTCTGCATTTGAAGCTTTGTGCTCTCCCACCCTTGTGGCTCACGGTGTTTCTGCCGCCTCAGCTGACGATTTTTTTCCCTCCTTTTGAGCTTTATGTACTCATTCTCTGAAACCATACCAAGCCCCACTCCCTCTGGAACCACAGCCCAAGAACATACACTTATCTCCCCTCTGAAATCTCTTGTCTATGAAAACTTTTATGATTGTATATACATGGCACCTACTATGTTCAGGAATTTTTCTAAAAGCTTAACATGATTAATTTCATGTAATCTTCACAATGATTCTAGGCTTATCTTCATAATCTCCATTATACAGATTTGGATAAAGCTGTTTATAGAGCTTAAGTAACTTGTCTAAGATTAAAATATTAAGATTAAAAATAAGAGAAGGCTGGAACACCAGTGTTTTATTCCAGAGCTTAAGATCTTGAATGAACTGGTGTACTGTCTTTCTTATTAGCAGTAAGTCATATCATGGAGGGAAAAGGTCTGTAGAACAATGGTCTTTAAGCTTTTATCCTTGAGTAGCACCAAATGAAAGTTTTAAAACCAAGTTTTATGTATGCTCTCACATATTTTTAAGTAGATTCTAAATTGCTTTAATCATAATTGTATATAGTTTCAGAGGATAAAAGTTCAGGAATAGATGTTGCAAATAGTATAAGTTTTAAAATAAAAATTTATTATCACTTTATAAAAATGTATGCACATTAAATGATTTGATATTTACCATCATCCATATCAAAAGTACCTAAACAAACTCTTCTATTATAGTCTAAAATTTTATAGGATTTCCTTTTTCACTTGATCTCATGTTTTTATTCTATTTTCTTACAAAATTATACCTAAATGTTATATGTTATTCTTGAAATGTTTTTTTAAAAAACTCATCAGCCTATCATTCTTTTCTACAACAAAATAGGTATAAAAATTAAAATTACTTTTTAAAAATTTCATGGGACCAATATAATCTGGATTGTTATCATTATGGTTTTTAGTAATACACAATTTATTAGAATGACATAAACATTAAATATTTTACAAAATAAGCTATTAAATATAAAAGTAAAATTTTATTGAAAATTTATTTCTTAATAATATTTGTGAAAGATTGTTAATTAAAAATTATTGCATGTATCCATGGATGAATATTACTCATTGATAGAAAAGATAAGGCTCAGCATATTTTCTATTCTAAATTTTAAAAACCATATCACAGTCCTGAGAAACTTTATTCTCATAAAAAACTAGATTGTAATGAAAGGATTTTTGTAGGAATTTTACTTAATTACTTGAACTCCTTTTTTAGTTATATATGCCAAAAATGATGTAACTGATTCAGCATCAAAATAATCTGATCCATCAGTGACAATACAATCAAGAATTCTTTGATGAAAGCAATCTTATAATTTATGGATCTATTTACAAAGGACCCAAATTTCAAGACATTTGCTACCTAGTCATTAAAGTCACTCACTTCAGCAACAATGGCACCAATATTTTGAGTTCTCCAGTGCTTTGGTACCTTGTCAAGTTTTTACCCCTTCTGTGCGTGCATAGTGATGAGAATGGATCCAGTTTAGGTGAGAGGTATGACTTTCTTCTGAAAAGTCGAAGGGAGATTGTGAAAGGGGAAGTGGTAAAGAAGAACATTCAGGAGGCTTCTCATTCAGATTCATTTTAGAAAACAATAGATGGGAGGAAGATCTGGAAATAAATTTCTTTAAAACTCTCTCTGCCGGGCTTCCCTGGTGGCGCAGTGGTTGAGAGTCCGCCTGCCGATGCAGGGGATGCGGGTTCGTGTCCCGGTCCGGGAGGATCCCACGTGCCGCGGAGCGGCTGGGCCCGTGAGCCATGGCCGCTGAGCCTACGCGTCCGGAGCCTGTGCTCCGCCACGGGAGAGGCCGCAACAGTGAGAGGCCCGCGTACCGCAAAAAAAAAAAAAAACCTCTCTGCGCCATGTACCCTTTAGAGAGTCAGTGAACCTATAGTAGTGTCTATCCCAATTTGAAGATACTGCTGTACAGAAAAGATTTTTAGAGCTAAGCAACCTGGGTTTAAATTCTGTGTTACTCAGTGAAAGTATTACCTTTGTCAAGTTATATTTTGTGAGCCTTATTTTCTTCATTGGTAAGAGAGGGAATAATTAATGCCCATCTCTCATATTCTGATGAGGATTTTTTTGATAGCAGGTGTGATGCGTCTAGTATAGAATCTGGCACAAAATGAGTGCTTCCTGAGTAATACCTATCATTTCTCTAAGCTTGTTGCATTTGATAAATGGGTGCCTATCATGAGAGCTGCTAGCCAAGAAGATGGAATGCTCCCACTGCAGAAAAGCCTCTTTTGCCACAAATCTCCACCACCAGGGTCCATCCTAGTACCAGACACTTCTCTCCTCCCGAACTCCATTTCTCTGCAGAAACCTGCCTGCTGCTTGCCCTCAGCCAACAATAGATGGTTCGGGGTGATTCTGGAAACTAGAATTGCTATTCTAAGAGTGTTTTCAGCAGGGCTAGTGTTTCTTTACTCACTTCTTTTGCTAACTTTCCAGATGTTGCACCTAGGAAAGTCTCCAATGTTATTATGAAGGATATGTGAATAAGAAGCACACGGGGGAGAGACCTTCATGATGGCAGAGGAGTGAGATGTGGAGATCGCCTTCCTCCCCACAAATACATCAGAAATACATCTACATGTGAAACAACACCTACAGAACACCCACTGAACGCTGGCAGAAGACCTCAGACTTCCCAAAAGGCAAGAAACTCCCCATGTACCTGGGTAGGGCAAAAGAAAAAAGAGAAAACAGAGACAAAAGAATAGGGACGGGACCTGCACCAGTGGAGGGAGCTGTGAAGGAAGAAAGGTTTCCACACACTAGGAAGCCCCTTCACTGGCAGAGACAGGGGGTGGTGGGAGGGAAGCTTCAGAGCCATGGAGGTGAGCACAGCAACAGGGGTGCGGAGGGTAGAGTGGAGAGTTTCCCACACAGAGGATCAGTGCTGACCTGCACTCACCAGCCCGAGAGGCTTGTCTGCTCACCTGCCAGGGCGAGTCTGGTCTGGGAGCTGAGGCTCAGGCTTCGGAGGTCAGATTCCAGGGAGAGGACTGGGGTTGCGTAAACACAGCCAGAAGGGGGCTAGTGCGCCACAGCTAGCCAGAAGGGAGTCCGGGAAAAAGTCTGGAGCTGCTGAAGAGGCGAGAGGCCATCGTTTGGGGTGCGCGATGAGAGGGGATTAAGAGTGCCACCTAAATGAGCTCCAGAGATGGGCATGAGACGCTAAGGTTACTGCTGCAGCCACCAAGAAGCCTGTGTGCAATCACAGGTCAATATCCACACCACCCCTCCCAGGAGCCTGTGCAGCCTGCCACTGCCAGGGTCCCATGACCCAGGGACAACTTCCCCGGGAGAACACAGAGACAACTTCCCCGGGAGAACACACGGCACGCCTCAGGCTGGTGCAATGTCACGCCGGCCTCTAACGCCGCAGGCTCACCCCGCATTCTGTACCCCTCCCTCCTCCCAGCCTGAGCAAGCCAGAGCCCCCTAATCTGCTACTCCTTTAACCCGGTCCTCTCTGGGTGAAGAACAGATGCCCTCAGGTGACCTACACACGGAGGCAGGGCCAAATCCAAAGCTGAACCCCGGGACTGTGCGAACAAAGAAGAGAAAGGGAAATCTCTCCGTGCAGCCTCAGGAGCAGCAGATTAAATCTCCACAATCAACTTGATGTACTCTGCATCTGTGGAATACCTGAATACACAACAAATCATCCCAAAATTGAGGTGGTGGACTTTGTAAGCAAC